AAGGTGATACACTTGGTCTAATGAAACCCTTATCAAGAAGCTCCTTCAACTCTTGCAGTTCCAATGGCACCATACGATATGGAGCCTTTGAAATAGGTGCTGCTCTTGGAACTAAGTCGATGGTAAACTCTACTTGCCTGTCTGGGGGTACACCTAGAAGATCTTCTGGAAAAACATCTTTATGCTGAACTATTCGAATATCCTCAACTGACAACTTATCTTGTTTAATGTTGGTCATCGATACTAGAAATCTTTGACATAATTCCTTTTTTCGATGCCCTTTCAACCTGAGTTGTTGGCACTATACGAGACAAAGTATCTGCCTCAGTTCCCACAAAACGAAACTCTTTCTCACCTGGTCTTTGAAAAATCACCTCTCTCTCGGTACAATGAATAGTTGCATAGTTTTTTGACAACCAGTCCATAGCAAGGATAACATCAAAATCTTTTATCGTTAATAGAATTAAATCTACCGCTATACCTCTACCATCAATTTTCATCTTAAGATCTCTAGCTATTTGATCAGCAACAAGTATCTTTCCAGATGGAAGAGATATTTCTAAAGTATACGGAAGGAATTCACATTCTACTTTAGACTTTGCAACAAACGAAGAAGAAATGAACGAATGTGTAGCTCCAGAATCTATAAGTACAAATGTAGGCATATTGGAAACAGAGATGATACCTGCAAGGACATTAGGGTCTTGCTCTGCTTCTTGCCTGGATAAGGAGAAAACTCTTGCTTTTCCTTTCTTGTCATCTCCAGCCTTCTGTGTTTGATTCTGGGGGCATTCTTTAGCAAAATGTCCTGATTTCCCACACTTAAAACCAACATTTTTTCCCAATAGACATTCTCCTTTGTGAGGTCTATCGCACTTAGGACAACGCTTATCACCACCAACTCCTACTATCTCTGTCTTTCCTTTCTTTGGTGCATTATTCTCTTTTCCTTTACTGTTATTCTGTCTATCAAAGTTCCACTTCCTCTTACCGGAGAAATTTTGAACTTGGTAAGAATTTCCAACGTTTTGAGTTCTTTGATAAGAAATAGTCTGTGGTCGTTTCAGGACTTCTCGATAAGTGTTCAGCTCGAGAACTGACACTATATCATGAATATAAGGTTGAAGCTCGCGTTCAAACCTTCTAGCCCGCTTTTCCTCCGTATCCACTAGATGTGGAGCAAACCTTGATAATTCCTCAAATTTGCGTTCATACTCCACAAGGGTCATGGTTCCGTGTTGGAGTTTGAGGAACTCCACCTCCTTTTGATCTTTTACAGCTGTCGGGAAAAGTTTTTCTTCTACGAGTTCCTTAAACTTCACCCAAGTTATAGCCTGTTCTTCAGCAGGTGTTAATGACCTAGTAGTCATATCCCACCAATGGCTAGCCCCCTTCTTTAACATAAATACTGAAAATGTTACCTTTTCAGCGTCTTCGCATCTTATAAATTTAAAGATACATTCTAGTTCTCGCAACCAGTCTTCAACTGCTAAGGGATCCACACTCCCTTCGAATGATGGAGGGTTCATTTTACGAAATTGCTCTATTATTGCAGTTCGATCCCTCAGGTTAGGTGCTATTTGAGGTTGAATAGCTGGTTGGTTGGGCTCCTGATGATCAATTGGTACTTGTTAATTTAGTCTTCGTTGCCCAGTCAAAGGTGGTGCCTGTTGTTGTTATCCCAACTCCCGCATTACGGCAAACAGTTCTCGTGCAAAGTTTGCTATATTAATTTCGCCACCACTAGAACTAGCATTAGTATTGCCGCCGCCTAAGTTCATATTGGAATTCGATGCACTGCCGTGGTTGCACTTTGGAGGCATTTCCTTTGAATGAAAGATATTCATCCAGTTAGAATTACTTCAAAACGTAATACTAACTTTAGAAAAATCCAAAGGCCAAGACAACTTTCCTTCATATATATACATTATTATTTTTCACAAACAAAAGTCATATTAAAGTACGGTACATACATTCAAAAGTAGATGTACGTATTACATCATATTCTATTTCAAAAACAAAGATAGTTAGATAAGATGGTGTCTAATCTTTTATTTCTTCTGGATCCTCCTCGGGGTCTTCATCTGGGCCTTCCTCTGGTTCTTCCTTTAACATGCTTTGCTCCGAACTATCTGGTAATGGTACGGGAAAACTTTCATCTAGAACTCTCGAAAAGCACTTAGCCAACGGTCCCTTATCTAGCCTAGAATTGGTAGCTCGTAAGCTAGTATTCATGGATAAGGTTATAATCTTCTTAAAGTTTCGCTGTAAATCGCAACTAGTTTCATAACCTTCTCGAAGTAAATATGTAAGGTCCTCATATGAAAGGTCATCATCAGACCATAGCACAATCTCATGTATGACTGAAGCCCAAGGCTCTGGAACAGTTTCATATAATCTCCGTATCATCACCTTATCCCTTAAGCTATGGTGTATCTCCCATAACATCTCAATAATGCAGTCTAGGAGATCAAGATGTTGTTCGAGGCTATGAAGCGAATGCATACAATAATTATAGTAAAATACCAATAATATGTCCCGCTTCTTCGCAAAACCACAAACTTCTGTCCTTTTGGGGGTTCTGACCATTCGTGCCATAACTAGGACAAAATTGATTATATTACTCTACAAGGCTCTAATAGATAATTACATATAAGTGTTAATGACTTCATAATCTCAACCATGACTTGATTCAAAATATTTCTATATCCAGCCATAGATATAGCAGTTCGTTGCATAAGAAAACTCATAAATTTTGAAAAATATTTTTACCTTGATCGCCAGTTGAAAGTCAGTTGCTAGATTGTTCGATGATGACGGACAGTAACTTTCTTAAAAAAAAAATAAAAAAAAAATATATATATATATATATATATCTAAGACGCCCCGAACTTAAACTTCGAGTGTCACGCACTAAACATAATAACTTCTGTCTTTGCTATATGTAAAGACTCTTAAATAAAAGTATTACATGTAGAAACTTATTTTCAAGTTAGTAAAATACCTCTAATAAAATTTAATGGCCAGCAGAAGTACATGTTGACATGAAATTATACTTTAGGTATATGGACTCGGCGCTGCCACGGCTAATTGGGGCAGCTAGTTCCACTGTTTTTATAAAATTTATCCCAACTCCGTTTTTCATGAAATTTGCGGCATTAGAAAGATATTTTCAATTAGTTTTCTAGGTTAAAATATGGAAAATTTCCAAGATCATATGATATGGGCGTTTTCCTGAAAACAGTGAGGTATTGCACAGAAAATTCATATTGACCCTTTGACGCTTAAAAATTTATATCTCATGCCACGGATATCCAAATTGAGTGATTCCTGCGTTCATACGAAGGCCACTCAAGAAGGAACGCATCAATATTTTTAGATCTCAAATGAATGTTTATAGAGTTGGAAATAGCATTTTGAAGTTGACCCATAAACTGTCCCGTTTCTGTCTCTTTTATCACTTGCAAGAAAAAGTCTATAAAAATGTCTCTTAACATAACATGAAAGATATGATTATAAAATTTACTTTTAATACCATATTACATCATGTCATATACATGTTTTTATATAATACCATAATAAAAACATATGGAAGGCAGTCGTCGAACAAAACATACAAAAGGAAACTTTGATGCAAAATAACTTTGTCCTTGATCCATCATCGATTATACCAACTGACTTCCATCAACCCAACGAACATGCATCTGAAAATTTAGTATAAAATACTACGAGTATGAAGAATACTCAGTAAGATACCCTGCTTAGATTTAACATGTTAATACTATACAAAAGAATGCAATCAAACACATACTTACACATTCCGTCTTGCCGATGCCCTTTGGACTTGTCCTAAGGTATAAGTATATATCTAACTTTGTGGATTTGTCCACCACGTTCATATTATGGTTTTTCATGCATAGCTTAAGCATAAATATTTCCATGAAATCCTACCATTTAAGCATAGAAAGTATCTTACCTTAAAGCTTGAAATATTTTCGGTTGAAATGCGCTAGGCTTTTGTTTCCTTTTTCTTTACGTATTCTTCCAACTCTTACAAGAGACTTTGTGGTTTTGGAAGGAGTAAAATGCAGGGAAACATCTCATATTTATATAAGGCAAGGGAGACTTATGGATAAAACAAGGGATCACTATCTAGGATTTTTTTTATTTTTTTTTTGTGCCAACACGTGGACTTGCATTAACCTCACTCCATGCATGTATTCAGCACTTTAAATCCAGCTTGTGCCACAATTGTACACCTTCTACTTGCTTAGATAATCACCAGCTCTTGCATGTCTAACAATTAACACCTCCAGCTTTGGTTAACTATCAAACACCTCATGCATTTAATCACTACAAAGGTGGCGCCATCCCCCACATTCCTCTCGGCCAAGGATGAAGCAAAGGATAATGTTTATCTATAATACTAATAAGATAGATGTAGAATTTGACAATTATCCCAAACCCCTAATTAATAAATCTTGGTAAACTTTTAATCAACCGAAAATGCAAACTTGGCAACCATTAATAGTTTGGCCATATAAAAATTTTGAAAAGTTAAATTGCTATCAAAAAAAATAAAATTAAACGAGCATAGAATTTCGGAGTATTACAGTTTGACAAGGCATACAATGCTGAAAAAATTAAAAATTAAAAACCGAAAGATCTTGATATTATCCTGATTTAATGCTTTTAATCTTAAAACCTGCTTTTTCTGTTTGTTCTTCTAGAATTTATACCTCAAATGTAGATTAGTTTCATGGAAGGCCATATTCAGTTGTCTTCTGAATTAAGTTTGTCTGGTTATACGTAGACATCTTGCATCTAATATATAGAAAGATAATTGAAAAGAATATGTTAGGGGAAAAAATCCTACGAAATATCCAACATACACAAGAAATATAAAACTTAATTGCGGTTCACCCTCACATTTGTATCTGTGCATTTAGTTGATACGTTGTCGAAATACTAAGTGTACGGTATAGTATACTCGACATGGTACATTAAAATATTAAAAAGAGCTGGGATTTTTCCGAGGAAAGACAATTTCATACAATTTCTAACTAGTCATTTCCTTGAAGCTAGGATTTTTCATTACAGCACAAGTCACCAAAAAGTTGACTTTGATTTTTTTGTGGGGGTATAGGGTGGTTGGTGGCCAAAGTTTACAAAACCAGGAAGCCCTTAATTACAGTTCACAAGCTTCACATAATAACTATGGCACTAACATAATATATTGGGTGCTAAAAATATTGGTTTCTAAAACCAAATAGCCTTGGCATCAATCAGCTTTTGCTTTAGAGATCCATCAACATGAAGGGAGATGACATCTTTAGCCGAGCCGACATATCGGCCACCAATAAACACTGCCGGAACAGTTGGGTTGCAGCCTAGTGCTCTTAAGGCACACTCCATTTCTCTCCCCTTTGCATCTTGATCAAGCTCATGCACAGCAGGACTTGCACCTAGTTCGTAAAAAAGCGCCTTGATGCTGTGACACATGCAACACGAGCTTTTCGTGAAGATCACTGCAGCCCTCTTCGATGCCAAATCTCTTACTCTGTCCATTAAAATTAAAAGTTTCAGCTAAACTCGACCCACCAGAATGACTAAATGTATCATTGGGATGCTTGTGTTGTTTTGAGGTTTCGGCATCCTTATTTATAGAGGTAGTTGACAATTTAGGATTAAGTTGTTTATCAAAAGGGAAATGAAGAAATATTCAAAAGAAAAGAGGAAGTTCCTTCAAGATATTAGTTTGGATAAGAGGAACTATCTTTGATGATTTGCTTGAAAATGACTCTTTGTGCTGAATCCAAGTTGACACATAGGTATTCGAACCTTTCGGCCTCGTCTGTTAAAGTGTACAGTCGGAATCTTTTATATTGTATTGTCCGGTCACGTCTAGTCACTCGACTTTCCATTTGCCAAACAGTATTTTCCACTATAAGACAAGTTTATGTGCTTTTGAAACTTGATAGGCTGCAGAATTACTGGCATTTGCAGGTGCCAAAGGGCAAGGAGTTTGGGATATATTCTTTTGTATTGAGGGCAAATTCTGTCTCTAGAGGCCGACTTTTCAGAGAAAACTAATATTCTATAATGCAAGTGAACATGTAGCAAGACCAGGTACCTAAAGTTTTCAGAATAACTCACATTTAATTGTGTTTTTGACAGATTTAAGGAATGATATTCGTTATATTTTTTACAATGTCAACCCTCATAATAATTACTACTGCATTCCCAAATCTTGATCCTACTGTTACATTGATACTCCTATATCTCTTTGGTGGGATTGTGGTTATGTTCGGGACCTGGGATATAGGTTAGATAGTTCGATGTAATTTGCCTAACCAAATAGTATTACAAGTGACTTGTCACTTTAGTGAAGACAAAATATTCTGATAGCATGTTTCTTTCACTAGCTCTCAGCAATAGTTTCTTTTTCTCCAAGAACGAAAATAAAAGATTCATGTTGCCGATCCAAATTTGTTTTGTTATTGTCGAGTTAGGTGATGCAAGATCATTGGCTGATGTGTAAAAACTAAAAGGATAAGAGCTTATCCAATTCATTTTCACTTTAGGACCCCTGACAAAAATCATGGCATAAAATTCTCTAGCAGAAGGATTGACAGTAACAAGAAATAAGCATAAGTTGCCAAGTGTAAATCATTTCTTCACATAAGTTACTTAAGTTTGAAATTTTTTTGGAAGATTATATCAGTGCACTGTGCCTGCAGCACTGAATCTTTTTTGGATGATCATCATAACCAGAAAGGAATCCTTGATGTAAAGTTGGATAAATTTGGCATTATTCTCGAGAAACACTCATCCAATATGTAAGATCAATCTCGTTGTGTCCCATATCCAAATTCATAGGTTCTTCAGATTTAAATGTATCGATGAACCAAAGGCATTAGTAAAAAAAAGATTCCCATGAACTCAGTTTTTGAATTTAATTCATACCTAGCTTTGTAAAATTGCACAATTTGTGCTCTTAGAACGTTTTTTGTTGTGCTCAAGTCAAACTCACTTTTTAAGTTACTTTTATCGAACATAATTTTCTAAATCACTTTTTGTATTGATAAAACTTACGTTTCTAGAAAGAAAATTTTATGAACTCAATGCTTTGAATCTTCTCCAAACACAATAGAATTAAATAATCATTGTAAGGGCAGCGGCGGATCCAGCACCCGGCGAGCCCCCGCGGCCGCCCGTGCTGGATCGCCGGAGCTCAATTTTTTTTGTTGTCCAAGTATTTATTTGTTTAGATATATTTCTGTGATTTCCCTTAATTCACACCAACTCCTTCTTGTTCAACTGGTTCGAGCGCCACAGTGGTGAAAAGGGCGTCCAGGGTTCGATTCTCTATTGTTGCATTCCCTTTTGTAATGATTTTAGTATAATATTTTTCACCATTTTGGAGCAAATAGGCATTAAAATTGGTGCAAGGGGAAGATTCGAACCTGTGATCTCCATTAGAATAATGGACAATTTGACCACCATGGTAGTTAATGGATGTTGACAATGCAGGCAACAAAAGTCTATATATTCTTTTATCCCAATGATATACACCCTCCTTTTTAGAAAAATAAAATTCAACCATACAGTGAGATTATTAAAATAATCACTTTTTTTCTATTAAACTGAAATTATTAGTGGATCGAATCAAGAAAGTAAATAATTGGACAAATTTTCAAATTTCAAATTGTTACTCAATAAACATTATTACAATGGTAGATAACGTACACTCACACTTATAATTCAAACTACGATATAAGCCCTAATTTGACCCCCTTTAAAACTTATCAATTTAAATTAAAAAAATTTCTTTTCTATTTTCAACCACACAATTTTCAATAAAATAATATTACACGTAAATCGAAAACTTTTCGTTCTTTTACAACTATCAATTTTTAATTTTTTTCAGAAAAACATTATTTCCCCATTATAAATCCAAATAATGGGGGCCAAACGGGGGTTAAGTAATTTCAACTCACGGCATTGGTTATTATTGCGACCGTCGACAGTCAACGGCCGCCCGTGCTCAATTAAAATCCTGGATTCGTCACTGTGTAAGGGTGACATGGACAACAGATAAGGGGTCTACTCATATCCATGCAAGCAAATTCCAACATGTTTCGACTGGAGACTTGGTTGAAGGAAGTTATCGTATATGGAAGCGAGAGATAATCTTTTAACAAATAAAAAATTATTCTCCAACATGCCAGCATAATTATTTTTCATAATCTTTTAACAAATAAAAAATTATACACCTTTTATCCATACCTTCTTCAACAGATAAAGAATCTTAATTTACAAAAGTTGAACACTAATATGCACCCGTTAAAAAGAATCAAATGATAATAAATGTTGATCTCAAAATCTGTCCGATCAAATGATCATCAATAAGAATTTTTTGTAAGTGTTTTTACTATTACCCACATTTTAATACACTAATTTTCCAACATAAAAAAATCTTTCAGTTTTTTTATTATTGTTTTTTGGAATTGAAGTGATATGGGAATTTGTATGGAAGAAAAAGGCCTCCAATTGGATAAACACCAAACAGCTTTCTTCACCTTAGCTGATGCTTCAACTTGGGACTAGGAAAGAAATCATATTAGCACGTTCAACTAAGCTTTCAAATTAAGTCAAACTTACTCGTAAATAAAATTTTATTTTCAACAAAAATCACTCAAAATATCAGTACAAATCTATACAATCATTTTTATTGACATGTACAAACAAGATCAAGAAACTGAGTGGCGTCTTCTCTTCTGGAAAAGAAACCGATTTTCTAAATTAGCTTTATCCAGCATTTTTTTTTAAATCTTTAATCCGAAACAGCGAATTGAGCTTGCCCAGTTTTTTTGTAAATGATTTGAACAACTTGTTGGCAGGGTGTGACTTCACGAGCTCCTGTTTCATGGAGACGTGGTCTTTTTCAAGATCTGTTAGTCTCATTCTCATTCGTGCAACTTCAAGCTTCAGTTCTCGGTTCTCTCTCCTTACTGAAGCATAATTATCTCTTGGTGAGATGCATCCGCTTCCTGCACCACTCCCCGAGCGCTGTGGGAATTGTCCTTTCAAGCCAAAGAATAATTGATTGTTCCCTCCAACCCCGTTCATTGCATTACGCAATCTGATCTGTTCGAAGTATAGCACTTGGACTGCCATCTGCACTGGCAATCGTTCATTCTGAGCTGCATGGCTGCATGCTTCTTGTGACAGTTTCTTAGAGTCGATTGTTTTGCATAGCCGATAACGTTCCGAGTCCATTATGTTGGGATGAACCTGCCAGTGAGTCACAAATTGTTGATAAACATATTGACATAGAGATGTAAAATGGTAAATAGAAGTGTAAAACAGGCCAGACAAGGCCACATTATTCTTTAGCGTGTTGTCCTATCTATAAAAAAACGAGGCCAAGTTGAATTGGGCTCATGTTGGACGCTTTTCTTCATTTTGCAGAGAGCCAGCTCTATGCAAATTGCAAAATGCACATAGCCAGAAGACATAATTTATTTTATTAAGTCTAGCATGGGCAACGTCCCTAGGCAACCTATCCAATACTAAAGAGATGCATTGTGCCTAATGCTTGAACCTGCCTATAGCTATTTATTGTTTGAGAATGAAAGAGTTATTCATCTCACCTTGAGAAAGATATCTACGGCTCGATATAGTCCATCATAGACCATACAAGCGTAGTCCGGAAGTAATTCTACTAGTGCTATGAACTTTGATGGTGTCAAGTTTGAATCCAATGCTACTTCTGCAAGATAATTGTCCAAGAGCTTCGACACCTCAATTATCGAGCTTTGCTCTGGAAATCCAGGGCTGTCAAAATCATAAACTATCTCACTTTCATCCCTAGGTTGATTATCCTCTTCATCATCCTCATCAAGATTCAAGAAAATCGAGAAAATTCTCAGGACTGAATCTGTGTCATACAACGGGCTCTGATTGTTTCCATTCAAATTTGCAGGAATAAGAATGTCTTCAATAATAGCTTGGTCCAATTTCAGGCCAATCCGCCTCTCCAAATCAGATTTACAAGATGTTGATGCTGATGCTGCTATTGCAGATTTCAATAAACTTGAAAGAATTGCGATAGGAACTGTGCTTTCTCTTGATTGGGTCGGTAGTAAACTAACTACCGTTTCAACAGTGACGCGTTGTTTCTTCTGCAAATCAAGATCTGCAAAACTTCCTTTGAACAGTTGAGGACCCCTTCCTGCAAGGCCTTTTATCAGAATTCAGCCGATCATTTCCTGTTTTAGGCCCTTTGCTTTGACAGCGGTCAAAACTCGTAAGAAGAAATCGAGATTCAGCAATGCCAGCGACTTCCCCCACCAGTCTGAAGGTGTTTCTTCTTCAAAGCTTTGGGTAGGTTTTGAAGGGAAGTTATGCTCCAGCTTTGATAAACCCGATGTTAGCTGTTCCTTACACGCATTATTTGCAGTTGCATTGATTATCCTGTTAACCAGGTTAATGTCTTCGGATATCGGTAAAAGACTTTCACAGAGGTGCAATACAGACACTGAGTTTGATATGTTTGGCAACACAGTATCCTTCAAATATGCTTCAGTTTTACCTTCCAGGTTCTTCTCGGAAATTTCTTCGGTCATTTCCAGGAAATGCGCTGCACATCGCAACATAGCAACATTTGATATTGTAATCTCGAAGTTCACCCCATAACAGAACTTTGCAGCCAACTCGAATGCCTGTGATCCACCAGGAACACCAGGAAGACTCAGCCTCGAAATCTTGGAATCTTTTGCTTCCAACATTAACTTTCTTATTCTTCCACATCGAAAAGCTAGGGGAAACTGCAAAAGAAATACAAAAATCATATTATAATCTTAAGACGACGTTTCTTTTCAACATGAAACTTTCCTGGTCGAAAAAGTCTGCATTCCGTTGTAAATTAACTAGTAAAAATGTGCCTCGCGAGAACCAATTCTTATCCGTTTCTTTCCTTGGGGCGGCACAAGTTTTTTATTAGATTACTATGCCATCTAAAGAATTCAAGGTGCAAGACGATATATAATTTGTAAGTGACATTGTTCTTACTTTGTGAAGCGGAAAACTTGCTGTTCCGACTTCAATGGTTAGGCTACTGGAAACATCGGATATAAGCCTGTAAAACAATTGAATACATGACTGAAAAAATTAAAATTTTCAAAGTGAAGACAAGAAAGGTTACATAAATTATTAATTTGATTTAATAACCAAGACAAAAAAAAATCACCAGCTTCTTTTTACGCATATTTTTCCATGTTGAATTTACTGTAGTCAAGATCATCAGCTTCTTCTTACGCATATTTTTCCATGTTGAATTTACTGTAGTCAAGAATACATGTTTCACAGCTACACTGACTCAAGCACAGTGAAGGCTCCAAACCTATGGACTACGTTATTCATCTTGATCTTAGCTACATAACATGGATGCCCAGTGGAAAACTGAGGACTTATTGATAGCAGACTGACTGTGACAGCTCAATCTTTTCTGCTTATGATATATTTCAGCAAGGCCACTTGTATGTGCACAAATAATTTATCTTATTAGACATTTGATTCCCTCAACTGCATTGAAAGACCTGCGATTCTTGATGTTGGTCGTAAAAAATTCATAATCTAGATTCAGTTTGCACGGATGCATCGGAACTTTTCTAGTAGTGGACAAACAAACCTTGGTCAAACCAGCAAAATGTGAAATCAAACAAAAAAAACTCACAACGGGACTAGATTAATAATGGCTTTTTCATGTCAAATGCTGAATCATTGGAGCCCATTATGTACTAAACAAATCAAGCAATCAGATGAAACTCTATTAACAAATGTGGGAAGATTGAGGACAAAATTTACCATTCTTTTGCGCTGGAACTGCGACGAAACGCCCTTTTCCCTGAAATGGTTGGTTTCAGCCTTTGATAATTTCCAAATTCCCAGAAAAATATCCTGTTTTTATGACTGAACTTTAATCTTGAATGTATATTGATAAAATTAATTACAATACAGCAGTATATTTTTAATGAAGAATCATATTCTCTCTCTCTCTCTCTCTCTCTCTAAACACACTGAATTTGCCCTTTCAAAAGTTAATTAATTTGTTCATTCACACATCTTATCAAGACTAGTAGTAAGCATGTGTGTTGTACATCTTATGTAAGAAATAAATGATGTACGTAATATTTTTAAAGTAAAGCAATTGATAACGTTAAAAGAAAAAATTAAATTATTAAAGCATATGCATATAAAAAAAGTTCAATTAAGCTAGACGTACAGACAACCTTTGACAGAAGCTGTACAGAAGTTTAAGTTATTACTGACGTGACTGGAAGAAACGGGGGGAAATTTTGGTTTCGACCTCATAACCCGCCAAATCTCTCTTCTCCTCCCAAAATGGAAGCCCTAAAGTTGTAGTGGAGATTAGCTGCTCCACTTCTTCGAACTGAAGAGCACCATTTGCTGGACAACCGTCATTCTTCCAGTCGTGCAGCGACTTCACTGTCTTCTCCAGTCCGACGGCCATAGTTTCAGTGTTTGAGCAACCATTTCTGAATCTTCCAGCGGTGCGAGCGACTTCACTGTCTTCTCCAGTCCGACGGCCATAGTTTCAGTGTTTGAGCAACCATTTCTCATTCTTCCAGACCAGAGGAGGTGATTTTCGGTATTATGCTGTAATTTTTTATGTTGTCAAAAAATTGTATGAATGTTGCTGGAATCATACCTTCATATGCAAAGGAATGAACACACACGCACATGTAAATGTATAATTATTGTTGGCAAAACCTTCATATGCAATAGAATATGGTGTAGCATTTTGAACACACACACCACAGAATGTTTATTTGTACATTTGGTAAAAAAGGGATTGCTGTCATTTTTAACAAACCAGAGGAGGTGATTTTCGGTAGTATGCTGAAATTTTTTTATGCTGTCAAAAAATTGTATGAATGTTGCTGGAATCAGACCTTCATATGCAAAGGAATGTACACACACACACACACACGTAAATGTATAACTATTGTTGGCAAAACCTTCATATGCAACAGAATGTGGTGAAGCTGTGACTTTATTGATTGAATGCCAGAGTATATACCTCTTCCATATGGTAATGTGAAGGAAATTTTCGAAACTTGAAAAAAAAGGGCTATTAAGCACCGTAATTGATCACTTTGACGTTGCTATGGTTTGAGACATTTGTTTGCTTAACAAAATTTGCTATATGAAATCACATCCCTGTTGGCTTAACAATTTATTGAAAATCTTGTCCAGCCAATTTGGTTGCAACACACGGAAGTATGGAAGATGCGAATGAAGATCCGTTATTGTTGTCTGATGATGAGATAGTTGGGGATAATATCGATAGTATGGACAGAGAACCGTTAGGAGAAGATAAAGAGGTTGCTCCGGAGGTAGGTATGATTTTCGATGGTGAAAAAGAGTTGTTTGACTTTTATAAGAGATATGCTTATGCCGTCGGCTTTCCCGTGAAGAAAAGGAATTCGAAAAAGGGTGACGATGGAGTTGTTAGATTTATCACATTCACATGTAGCCGTGAAGGACGAAGAGGCAGTAACACAAGTAGTACTTTGAAGCCGCAACCAACAAGTCAAATAGATTGTAAAGCAAGAATATCTGCATCTGCAGATAAAGTTGGGAAATGGAGAATTAACACCGTCTATCTCGAGCATAATCATAAAACAAGTCCTTCGAAGTCGAGGTTGTTTCAATGTAATAGAGAATTGATTGCAAATGCGAAGAGAAAGCTTGAATTAAATGATATGGCAGGAATTCCGTTGCACAAAAGTTACAACTCCGCAGTTGTGGAAGCGGGGGGGTATAATAATTTGACTTATGTTGAGAGGGATTGTCGCAACTATATTGAACAAGTAAGACGGTTACGACTTGGAGAAGGAGACGCCACAGCTTTACAATCCTACTTTTCAAAGATGCAAGCACGGTGTTCGGGATTTTATTTCAGTATGGATTTGGATGATGAGTCACGGTTTCGAAATATATTTTGGCAGATAACAGATGTAGGCAAGCATACAAGGAGTTTGGCGATGTTGTTACCTTTGACACGACGTATCTTACAAATAAGTACGACATGCCTTTCACTCCTTTTGTCGGAGTTAATCACCATGGACAATCAATACTGCTTGGTTGTGGTTTGTTGTCAAATGAGAACACGGGTACATTTGTGTGGTTGTTCAAGACATGGCTCGAGTGCATGCATGGCCAGCCTCCCTACGGAATAATTACGGATCAAGATAGGGCCATGCAGAATGCGATTGAGATTGTGTTTCCAAATACTAAACATAGATGGTGTTTATGGCATATTATGAAGAAGTTGCCAGAAAAATTTGGCTATCATGTTGACAAAGGTTCGATATTCTCATCTATACA